GAGTAATATCTTATAAAGACGTTATATTTAACAAAACATAAAGGTATTAGCCTTAAGATAAATAAGATACTACTAAAGAAGTAATTAAAGCTATTAAAATACTAGTAATTAGTAAATATAACTAGTAAATTAAAGAAGAAGACAATCCTTTTAATCCTCTTATTAAGAATAGTAATAGTACACTACTTAATCTACTAGTAGATCTAACAGATCTTATAATAACAATAACAAATCTAACTAATCCTATTATAACTCTTATAATAATAAGAAACCTCTTAGTGTCAAGGGCTGACAACACGATGCTTAGGTGAATGTCGATTTATTCTATAAGGAGAATACTCTAAGGAGAGAAGAGGGAAGTTTGTACAAGTATAAGAGAAAACTCTGCTGTCAGGGCGGGGCGAGTCAGGGCGGGACAACGATAGTCCGGTTAGTCACGTGCTCGGCACTGACCCTTTACCGGGTTCTAACCTGTGACACTTAGCTAAGAAAGTAGAGAAAGAGACTAGAACTTACTACTTACTTACCTAAGAGACTACTATTAATTTAATAGCTTAAGATCTATTAGATCCTTAGTCCTAGATTATTAACCCTCTTCTAACACTAAGAGCGTTACCTGTTCTAATAACTCCTTCTCTTACTAACTTAGCTAAAACTATAACTAAGGATATTAATAAGGTTATAATAAAGGATATAAATAAGAATATACTAGAGAGGTAGCTAGAGAATAAAACCTAATAAAAGATCTAGTAGTATAGATCTAACTCTACTAGTCTTAATTTAGCTAATATCCTTTTAATAAGAATAAGGAATAAAAGAGTAAGAAAAGAAGCTTATACTATCTAAATAAAGTAAATTAAAGCTTATAGTAGCTTTTATACTACTTTTTAAATAAGTATAGAATATACTAAAAGAAGGATCTATAGAACAGATCTACTAGCTTTACTTAACTACTAGAAGAAGCTTTAAAACTACTAATATAAAGATAAATTTATAGTAGTAGTAAATAAGGAGTATAAAGATTTTAAAAGACATAAGACCTTTAAGACTGTTCTAAAGAGTATATCTAAAAGATTAGCTATCTTAGTTAGGTAAGTGTTTATATATAAATTTAATACTAATAGCTTTTTAAATAAATTTAAAGTAAGACTTATAGTTAAGAGAGATCTTTAATATCTAACTAGCTAGGACAATTACGTTACTACTCTAGTATTATAAGTATTTAGAGGTTTAATAGTAATAGTATACTACTTTAATCTAGAGATCTATTAATTAGATATAGTTAACGTCTTTACTAATAGTAATATAGACAAGATAGTCTATATTAGACATCTTAAGAGTTTTAATAACCTAGATTATAATCTTCTTCTTTTAAAAGCTCTATATAAGCTATACTATTCTTCTTTACTCTAGTATATAGAGTTTACTACTACTTTAGCTAAGCTAGGCTTGTTTTTAGTTCTAGAGGTAAAGTATCTTTATATAAATAATTACCTTATTATCTTCTTTTATATAAACGATATTACTATCTTAGTAAGAAAAGAAGATTACTAGGCCCTTTTATTATTTAAACAAAACCTCTTTAGTAAATATAAGATATAAGATATAAGAGAATTAAAGTAGTTCTTAAGTATTAAGGTAACTAGAGACAGATCTACTAGAAGATTATAGCTTAGTTAAGACTCTTATATTAAGTTAATTACTTTAACCTTTTACTTAAAAGACAGGAAAACACCTCTTATACTACTAGAAAGTATACTACTTGTCTTAAATATAAGACAGGCTTTTCTTTAAGAGATCTATAGCTACTAACATAAGGTAAGATCTATTCTTTATACTATAGTTGTTACTAGGCTAGACGCTATTAGATTAGCTAATAAACTATCTAAGTTTCTTACTAACCTATCTTAAGAGTACTAAAAAGTAGTAGATAAAGTAATCTAATATCTTTATAAAACCTAATACTTAAGGATCTAATTTAGAGGTAGTAATAGAGGCTCTAAAGCCTTTACTTATACTAGTAATATTATATATACTAATAATCTAAAGACCTAAAAGAGTACTAAAAGATATGTATTCTACTTGTTTAGAGGACTTATTAACTAGAAATTAACTAAATAAAAGATAGTTACTATATTAAGTATAGAGGCTAAGTTATTAGCTCTCTTTTATACTATAAAAGATCTCTACTAATAGTAACGCTTTTTTACTAAGATTACTTTAGAACTATATAAAGAGTTTACTATTAATATAAATAACGCCTAAACTATCTACCTTATATAATTAGGTACTTTATACCTAGTTACTAAGCTTAAGGATATAGATATCTATTAACACTAGCTATACTAAGAGGTAACTAAAGAGAGACTTAGTCTATAGTAGCTATTAACTTATAATATACTAGTAAATAGGTTAACTAAGGCCTTACTATACTAGAAACACATTAAATTTATTAAATTACTTAATCTAGTAGATATTAAGACCTTAAACCTAAACGATAGCTAGCCTATAGATTAGGGTAGTTAAACACTCTTTATTTAAGTAAGAAACCCTTTTGTTTAACTACTAAACACCTAGGACTAGCTTTTACACTAGTCTTAGTAACTCTTACTTAAACGATTAAGTAAGAGAAATAGGATCTGTTTTAAGATCTAGTTCTTATCTTAGCTTTATTTCTTATTTAAGAAGTCTACTCTTTTTTCTTAGAGACTTAACTGTTTTTATAGTTATATTCTTTAGTTCTATCTATTACTAGTCCTCTTTACTCGACCTTATTACTTAATAAGTCTTATTACTTAAAGTACTAAAAGTCCTTAAGGTTCTTTCTTAAAGAGCTTTAGAACTTAAACGTTAAGCCTCTTTTAATTAAGTACTTACTATTACGTACTTTTCTTAATTCTTTAACCTTTTACCTAAAGAGAGAGCTATACTAGTAAGTACTAGTATATCTTTAGGTATAAGAATAGCTTTATTATTACTTAATTAGAGAGAGAGCTAGAGAGAGAGCTATACTAGTACTTAGCTCTCTAGTTAAGTCTAGAATCGGCTTAATCCCTAAAGAGGTATATTAAATAGTAGGATTAATTACTAGGTTATAGAACACGTTCCCTTAATTACTAACTAATCCTTAATTAATATATAAAGATTAATCCCTTATACCTTATTTTTAATAGTTTATAGTATTGTTAGGATTTAGGTACTTAGGTACCTATATACCTTATTTATAGCGGATATAGCGCCTATATATATAAATAGTAACCTCTTTTTTAAGTATATAGAACAGGAGACTACCTTCTGTTCTATTTAATTTAGTTTAATTTAATCTACTTCTAACTAACTTAAATTCGCCTGTTATTACTACTTCTTTACAGTAATATATAACCTCTTTTATCTGACAGTTTCTTAAGATATATCTCCTTAAATATTTTAAACGGTATCTTTTTTGTTTCTAAAGGGACCTGTAGTGTAAGGATGAAATTATGTAAGGCTAAAGATGAATACCTTATTTCTATGTCGAATAATCCATTTGCTGATACGGCTCTCACCTTCACCTTTATGACGGTACTGATCTCTGCCGTATATTACAACATCGATGCATCGGGTTTTCAGTGCAGGAAGTTCTTTCTAACATAGGATCAGAGTGCACTTTCTTTAATCAAGCCCGGCTTAGAAAAACCGTCATCCATGGCCGATAGTGAAAAGGCTAAAGCTGAAACATTTCAAGCATCTGGTTTCAACACATCTCGAGCCAATTAAGATTACTTGATCGTCTAGTCTAGTTCCTTTATCAAACAGCAAAGGAGTATCTTTTAGATTTCAAGATTTAAGAAGAGCATTTAAGAAAGAGATCAAGAATAAGTTAGAGGTAGTAGACGCCAACTTAATGCTCTTAATATGTTGCTAACAATAGCTTCATCCGCTTAAAGAAGATTGAAATTGGATGTAAAAGGCTAAAAGCTATAAGAGCGTCTTAGTCCCCTAATATTGCGTTCATCGCACGTTGTAGGTTCAGGCTTAAATTTAGAACCTGAAAGCAATGAATGAAGTATTGTTTAGACTGTATACCTCTTTCAGGGCCACCTAAGCTATACACAATTAAGATAATCTTCCTGTTAGAGGCTTTAATTTAATATTCGACGTGCTTTTGTCCCTTCTCTTAGCCTCTACACATTTCAAGAGGTCGTTCCCATGCTCCTTTATCCTACTCTTGCTGCTATGGTCCTTGAAAACTTGACTAACATAGGAATCGTATCCGAATATCAAAATGCGACAATAATGGAAGTCTAAAGGTAAGAGATCCTGTGGTCAGGAAATTCCATCGTTTTCTGCCAGTGAGAGGGCTAAGATCGAAGGTATTTATAAGATATTCCCTCTTCTAATTTGCTCTATATAAGATAAAAACCTTATATATAGACTTGTAGTACGAGAGTTTTTATATTTTTTTTCCCCTTTTTCTAGGGGGGTGGTTTGCCTTGGCTCACAGGAATACCTCTAAGGTGCTGGCCTTATGGCCTCAGGCTCTCGTTCTCGGCCACCGGCGCTGTAACGAGGCCCGGCGCTAAGCGGTTAATTTCCGCCTGCTACCTCAACCCCCGGGATATCGCATTTGCTGATACCCACCTTGGAAGCACCGATGACCCACGTACAGCCTTTTATACAGACGCAAATGACCATTACAACAGCTCTATCCTTGGGTTGGTCACAGCGTCAGAGAAATGATAACGACAGAGAGATTATATTTTTACAGATACCAAAGCTACAGTCTGTTAGGTAGTCATCTCTCCTGACATAGAAGCTGATGCTGAAGCCTTTAGATAAACTCTACTACATTCGCTCGGCTGATGAATCTAAACTTGACATCTATGCGACAGCACTTCATCCGGCATATCGACCTGGACTTCAACATTGGGGTAGGGAGAGGGGGGTTCACCGTCACCGAGGGCAGCAGGAGTGATTCTCGGACATGGAACTAGGGAAAATCTTGAACAATTGCTCTACGTCTAAACCATGGTTGCGTATTTTGTCCACAACGCATCCATCTCTAGCCTGTGGATTGCGCTCTCTTCCACGCCCACCAACAGCTCGAAGCCACCACCCCTGCTCTCTGGCACCGCCGGTAGAACGACCTGACAGCCGTTAATGATCCCCACGTTCGGGGCTCTCACGGCTTCAACGGCCCCACCGAACATATGGCCCCAGTCGATCGTGTACAGGTCAAAGTTGACCCACGACGTTAGAACACAGTTGTGGCCCGGCACATCCAAGAATGCCGTCGGAACCAGCCGGTTGTGGTCCGGAATACTGTCGAGGAGGGTGACGATGTCGTCCGTGTAGTTCTGGTTCGCCTTGGCCACGTTCCGCCGGATCTCAACCGCGATGTCAGCGAGACTCGCCTCGGTGAGCATGGTGCGGATGCCCATGGAGGGCGCGACGTATTCGAGGAAACACCCCATGGTATCCTCCGGCAGTGGGGGGTCTGCGCGCCGACGCCCGTCGACGGCGATGTTGAAGACGGATGTCGGGTTGCCCTCGAGCTCGTCAAGGGGGAACTGCGCTGCCATCACCGCGCGCCAGAGAAGCGCGGAGAGGGCGTCGTTCGTCGAGATCCACGGCACATCCGAGGCGGGCATCTTTGCGTTCGCCGGCGATGCGTCCTTCTTGAGTTGTGCCAGCGTGGCGGGCGAGAAGTAGAAGACTCGGGCTCGATGGGTCGGACTGAGCATCTTCGGCGGCGCGCCGGTGGGAGTAAAGGGAAGCAGGACGTATTCCGGATGGTCCTCAATCCTGCCTTTGTTGCGCCCCGAGCCCTGCATTACACGACTCCGGTCGAAGAGTTCGTCGGGCAGGTGCACGGGCGAGGTGATCTCGAGGCCTTGGGCCCTTCGGCATTCCTCTGCCCATATCTCCAGCATTTTCTGGAAGGTCTTGCCGTCACCAATCATGTGGAAGATGCACCAGTTTAATATGAGTCCTCCCTGGATGAAATTTGCTTGTACCGCCGTGATGGGCAGCCTGTCGCCGGGGGATGGCCACACGGGGCGCCGACAGAACACGTCTGCTTCAAAGGCCTCGAGCGGAAAGCGCTTCTCTCTCAGCTGCTGGTATGTCATTGGAAATGCTTCCGGCGCCCTCATGTCGACCACTTTGATGTCGCCCACCTCGCTCTCTTGCAGGCGCAGGACGCCGGCCTGTTTGGCCTCGGTATCGGGAACGGCTTCGCATGCCAGCACGGGGAGGCGCTTCTGGGTGGCCGCCAGTGAGTCCTTCAACACACGGGCAACCTCGTCGAGGTTATAGTTCTCAGCGAGCGGGAAGGGAAACAGATAGCGCACATAGCCTTTTGGGCCGGCGCGCTCCAAGGGCATCAACGGGGGGATCGATGGTGAAGCCATTGCGATGGTGGGAAAAATGGGAAAGACGTACAGAGGGAGAGAGAGAGGCCTCGACTCGACGTTTGTGGGGGGGGAGGAAGTGAAAAAGGGGGAGAGAGAGGGGTAAATCAGTTTATGCATCGCGACGTCGCCCCTCTGTTGGTGCTCATGAAGGGGCTTGAGCATTGATGCGCCCCTCCTGTTGGATACAGGATCGTCGGTGTCGTTGACACGGGTATCAGTGCTGTGACAGTGTGACGGTGGTACTGGCCCAATAATCGAACCCACTTCGCTTGGAGAGTTGTCCATGTCAACGTGGGGGGTTGCCCAATCAGATATTGCTGAGATACCGCTTAAGCAGTCTACAGAGCAAACCCCCCTACTACCAAGCAGCTCTAGTGTCTGTGTTCTGGGTATAGGTGCGGGTATTATCCAGGGCGTCTAGCCAGTGGGAAAGTGCCCTATGTACTCACAAGGAGGCTATTCCAACACCACGACCAGGGGAGAAAGTGTTCGCGACCGTTCTATCGGCACCTGTCATTTGATACAGGGTGCTCTCACCACTCAGAACAGATACCTTATCAAGGCGCCCCACCAGCTGGATCGACGGTACGGAGGACTCGTTAGGAGAGAAATGGTCCGTAGAGTCGTGCCGCGTCAGGTCTGCTTCCTCGCTTCGCCGAATTCGGTCTCCACCACGCATTGTCATTGACCTACAGAGGGTCGCCAACCCTAAGCGAGTCCGGGCCGACTGCCGACGGTACCTACAGCGCGGTAGGGCCGGCTTCTGACACACGCCATGACAACGCCATCGCCCCTGTGCCGCAGCAGTCGCCGTGTCTCGCAGGGCTAGTCCTGGCCAAGTCCCGCCGGGGGGAAAACCGGGGCCGACCGGGGGCCGGAATCGGGGAAGAACCCGATGCGCCGTCGAATTCGGGTATATACCTATAAAATAGGAAAGCGATCGGCTGTGTCTTCCCAGTTTTTCCCGGTCTGCATAAGGGGCAGGAGAACCTTCACGACTCGACTTCTCCGGTTCTCACATGTCTTCCATTTCATTTCTTTTTCTGTCCCAGATCTCTTCCCTCTTCCCAACCCTCTGGGCGGGCAGAGCACGGACCGCCTCGAGGTCATGACACTTTTATTCCTCTACCGCTTTGCCGTTGTCACATTCTCTCTGCACAGTGCACACACATAACGTCGGGAAATTTGTGCTCCGCATGTTAGGCTCTAACGCGGCCCATCCTATATCCAACAGAGCAACCTGTTCGCCAAGTGAGAGCTAGAGATGCCAGATACCGCGTCCTATGACTATATACCGTATATCCTCCATCTACACGACCCCCTAACTAGGCATTGTCAGTCCCGTACGTCTCTAAGTACAGAGCGACTAGGGCGCTCCTTGTCTAGCACCTCTCCGCGCTCTCTTCGCACCGGGGTCTAGTGCCGGGGGGAGGTGGTACAACAACTAGAAATAGCCTGGCGCTGTGGAGTAGTACGAGAAAGCCCAGCGGCTAACGTGACACTTTAGTCGACATGGGTTAGACAGGAAACTGCTGATCATCTTGTCAGTTAGTGCAATTGACACTAGCGAGCCATCAGTATTATTTACCTTCGCACCGTCGCTGTCGTGAAAAGGAGAAAGCTGGAAATGGAATCCCATGTCTGTTCGCATGGGAAAAACCACTGTATATTAAGTCTTTGACGTCCAGCCTCGACGACAATCCAGCCGGCCTGGTCGTGGTTCCCATCAGACTCGTCCAGAACACCCGTTCCGATGATATGATCTCTGCCTTTTCCTTAACTCAAGCCAGTCACATGTTTTTTGCCGTGCCCCATTCTTGCCATCCCTCCACATCTCTTCTTCTCCTTCGCCAGGAACGCCACCACGCACTCCCAATCCCCACGGCATGTCTTCGCCTTTTGGGCCTCCGCCCTCGGGTCTCAACTTGAAGGACAACGCCACACCCGGCAACAATGCGGCCGTGATTGTTCTGACGGTTATTGCCACTACCGCTGTCGTTCTCCGCCTGGGTGCGCGGAGAATGCAGCAAACAGCGTTGGTGGCAGATGACTACCTCATCCTCGTTGCCCTGGTGCGTCAATCCCTTCCCTTCGTCTTTCCTTGGGGCCTATTGCTTACACGCGATGCAGTTCTTTGTATATTGTACCGCCGGGCTAAGCATAGCAAGTAAGCTTTCTATGCGACTTCCATGTTCGATATGACGTCTCTAACCTTCTCTCTCTGCAGGTGGCTTCTTTGGCGCAGGAAAGCATCTGTGGGCGCCGATGATAACGGCAAAAAAACTACTAGTCATCCTCAAGGCAAGCAGCCCTGAATAGAAGACGTTTCGGGATCTGACGTGTTGGCTTTCCTAGATTCTCTATTCGTATACCTTTGTTTACGCCGCTTCGGTCTCGTTCACTAAGCTTTCCATCATCTCCTTCTACTCCCGCATCTTCGGCTCTGGCAGCCGCGGCTTCAATATTGCCTTGTACACGTGTACCTTCCTGACGGTTGGCTACGCCATCACGGTCTGGGCGACGATGCTCGGGAGCTGCCAGCCCATTCCTTACTTCTGGAATCGCGATCTCGACCCCACCGCCAAGGGGAAATGTATCAACGTCAATGTGTTCTTTTTGGTCGCCGGTATCATCAACATGTTGATTGACATTTTCATCCTCGCCTGCCCAATCCCCAAGATCTACAAGCTCCAGATGTCAAGACGTCGCAAGTTCACTGTCATCGGGATCATGCTACTCGGGTCGTTGTAAGTCAATTTAAGGACAAGCACCTCCTCCCTTCGACAGAGCGAGATGGCTAATACCATGATAGTGTGTGCGTCGCTAGCATTGTCCGGATTTACTATCTCGTCAAGCTCCTATCCGATACCGACCTCAGCTGGATCATGGGTCCTGTCTTCATTTGGTCCTCCGTCGAACCGTCCATCGGCATCCTTTCTGCCTGCCTCCCAGTGCTGGGTCCTCTGCTGCGCATTGTCTTCCGCAACTACGTCAGTTCCAACAAGCAAAGCGCCTCCCACGAACTGGAGAGGACTCCGGGCTACTACAACCTGTCCAATAGCAAATCAGGCAACGACCTTAAGAGCTTCGACCGACGTGCCTACATCGGCAAATTGAGGCCAGACGATGACGAGATATACCTGACGAATAATGCGACAGGTGGCATCTATGAGACCCGGTTAGGGAGCTCTGGGGATGACGAGTCACAGCAGCCGGTACCCGATAAATCAATCGTGGTGAAGACATATATAAGCCAGACCTCGACAAGTCAGCCGTCGTTGAAGGATTAAGTACGAGGGGTATATGGCGGGGTTCCGATTCTTTCTGTGTATTAGGGTGTTCGGTAAAAAATAAAAATTGGCGCTCTTCTTACCGCCATTGGCGTATGTATGGGAAATGAGGCGATATTTGACATGTATAACTAAATAGATACCTATAGAAGTTCACTTTCTCGAGTTCCGAATCTCTCGTAGCTCTGCCATGGGAGAATCTTATTGGCGGCTCGGGTACTATAATAGGCAGGAGGCGTTTTGATGTTCCGGCCCGTGCTTTTAGGGGACCCCCCCCCCCCCCTCCCCCCAAAAAAAAACACCTCCTCGGGGTACCCACCCCCTCTCTTCCCCCAACCGAACGTAATTTACCGTACAAAATTACTTGGCCCACTTCCAAAAAGCCGACCCCTAAGTCAGGTAGTAGAGTGGATGTTAAGGGAGTGGTTCATCATAAGCGGAAACACTAAGAAGAGCTCGTGCTGTGGTCGAACAGAAGTCCCGCGGGCCAGCTGAAGAGAAACAACATTGATTTTGGCTAGTGATGCATCGGTGCCCTCCTGCCCCCTGAGAGGTAGGGCCTTATAACACGATTATTACAGAGGGTATACTGGTATCAGAAACAGTAACAGGTTTAGAATAGTTGAGGGTGAGGTTCATGGCGGCGCATAACTACCGTACCTAGGTAGCCTCCTCGAGGAGCGGTACCTTAAAGTTTGCCGTTGACTGACGGGAGCTCTCTGAGTTAAAGTTCAAGGACCAAAACAAATCTCATTCTAAAGTCTACTACGAAAACCTACTCGATAAATATTCAACCCTACAAGCAAACGAATCCTCTAACTAATCTTTATCTTTGAAATGATCTTCTCACACAGCGAAAACAAAGACGGCGCATTATTAATCTCCAAAGTCGTTAGCTCGGCCCCTAACTCATTGCGAATCCAATTCCGCAGTTCCACAGACGCCAGCGAGTCCAGTCCGTATGCCGTCAACGCTTTCCCGGGCTCAACGAGATTGGGCAGCCGGAGCATCTTCGTGAATTGCTTGTTGACGATGTCGACGGCAGAGGTGAGCACGACAGGAGCCTCCGCTTTGGAACGCAGCAGCACGAAGAAGGTCTTGATGTCCTTGCTCGCATCATCACCTGATTTGGATGGGCCCAAACCATCGTCGTCAGTAGGGATACAAAGACCGCTGAAGCGGGCGTCTTTGAGCAGTGTAGAGTCCTCCGGCTGAGGGACCATAATGCCAGTGATGAGCTGCGAACTGGTGTCTGAATTGAGTGGATCGAGTTGCTGGAGAATAGAGTATCCAAGGATCTTGCATAACATGCTCTCGTTGATGCCCGTCCAGAGCGTCTTGTCAAAGTGTTGTTGCATTCCCCCTTGTTCAGCGACATAGCCAACATCTTCGATAACACCCAGATCAGTTGAGTTGGCACGGAGGCCTAGAGACTGGCGGTATGAGGCGAAGGCGTCCATGAAAACGTTCGCCGCTGCATAGTTTGCTTGGCCCTTCTGTCCTACAATTCCAGAGACGCTGGACAACAGAGTGAAGAAGTCGAGCTCTATATTCTTCTCAAGTGCGACCTTGTGCAGATTCCAAGTACCAGACACCTTGCTGGAGATTGTTGTATGGTACTCATCAACTGTCATGGCCTCGTAAGGTTTATCCTATGCCTTGTAAGTATCCTGTTTTAGTTCTTTATGGCAGAGAACCACTCACCCTCAAAACCATAGCACCCTGCACAACGCCTCTGACCTGCACTTGAGCGCTTTCAAAGGCCCTCCTCACATCTGCTATGTTTGAAACATCTCCACTTGCAACGTAGATGGTGCATCCATGTGATAAGCAGTCCTTGATGATACGTTGCGACCTGTCATCGCCACAGCCACTGCGTGACATAACGACGAGCTTGCGCGCACCGTTCTGAGCCAGCGAAATAGCTAAGCTGCCACAAAGACCCTTCAAACCGCCGACGATGAGATACGCGACATCGGGCTTGAGTGCCAGTGTCTTTGGAGCACGACGAATGGGTACGCTTACGTTTGCGTCTTTGCTGTCAGAAATGACAATCTTTCCTATGTGCTTGCCAGAACGCATGTAGGCAAATGCAGATGGGATATCTGTAAATGAGAAGGTTCTGATCGGATGAACGGGTTTAACGTATCCTTTTGCATATAGATCGAAGATTTGAGTCAGGAGGCTATTTTACCAGTAAGTCAGGTTGAAGTTTGTAAGGGTTCTCAGGGAAGAACTTACTCGGCAATTAAAACGTCAGTAATCTGCTTGTGGGAGAAATCAAGAGCTCGGAAAGAGCAATTTCGGTCAAAGGGTTCCATCGACAACTGGTTACGATCAAGAATATCTCTCTTGCCAATCTCGACCATAGTTCCGCCATCGGCACAGATTCTCCAGGATTCGTCGAGAAGCTCGCCGGTGAGCGAGTTCAGTATGACATCTACCCCACGTCCATTTGTCGCAGCTAGAATATCCTTTGCAAAGCTGGTTGATCGTGAGGAGAACATATGTGAGGCCGGAATACCAAATGTCTCTGTCAAGAACCGACGCTTGTCTTCGGTACCGACTGTGACAAAAATCTAATATTATTAGCTATTGATGGATATGAAAGATTTCACATGGTCCAGACCTCGGCTTTTTTATATTGAGCGAGTCTGATAGCTGAGATGCCGATGCCTCCAGCTGCCGAATGTATCAAGACAGACTGAAAATGTCAGAAGATTCGTAAGTAAACGTAGTGGGTACTCACCTTTCCCTCGGTAATATTACCCAGGTTGATTAGGCAGTAGAGAGATGTAAGATAGACTCCTACAATAGTGGCGGCATCCTGATATCTTGTTAGCAAGGCCTCCTGGATCATTGAGTGGTCGACAGCTTACTTCGAAAGCTAGATCATCTGGAATGTGGTGAGTTCGCTCGCTCGTAACCTGAATTCTATTTGCAAAAGTTCCCTTCTCGAAGACCACCACTCGATCGCCAGGCTTGTACCGTGTCACATCCTTCGCGACTCGCCTGACGATACCCGCACCCTCTAATCCAAGCAGGTGCTCGTTCTCTGGGACAATACCCATTGTTACAGCGACATCCTTAGATTTTGATTTAGCCATGGTTCAAGAACTAAAACAATCTCTTTGGGGCTTACCTTGAAATTCAACCCAGCGGCATATATCTCGACCTCGACACAGTTCTCTCGGATAGGAAGCTCTTTTGCAGCGATTTCGCCAAAGACGAGAGAGTCGAGCGTGCCAAGACGCTCTGCTCTTAGTCGGGTGCAATTCTCATTTTCATGCAGCGGTAGCACTTCTAACTTTTCACCTGTTGACTCCGTGTCCTTGAATGCGTTCACTGGACCGTCCGGAAGGATTCTGCTCACATGAATGACCCCACCGCGCTCGACATACTCACTCTCGACCGATGTCTTGGCTGCTGGAATCGTCAAGGCCTTAATTAAGCTTGAGATGGCGGAGATAGTGGAAGGAGCGGCTGGTGATTCCACATCTAGTGTGGTCAAGCTCAACCCCGGATCCTCTGCACGAATTGTCCTGAACAAGCCATGCACAAGCGCCAAATTAGGATGAGTGACATTTATCTGCGAGCCACTTGTGACCCAAAGAAGCTTTGAGCGCTGGCTGATGATGTTTTTCACAGCGTCCCATTCAGATCCAGAAATACTTGTGAGAAGAGGGTCAGAGAGCTCATCTAGGACCATCACAATGTCATCCTGAGAGATAGGACTTCTCGCATCATGTTCTTCAATGATATGGCCAGCTTGTAGTAGCTCGGACTTGATGCTTGCAATCAGAGCGGTGGCAGAGCGGAAGTTCACCAATTTGACTGCTGTGGATGTTGAAGTTGGAGCAGATTCAGGCGGAACCAATCGTGCGAGATGTATGTTCCGGTGTTTGTCGAAGATAACCTTGGACACAATATGAAGCCCGCTGGAGCTAATAATGGTCTCAAGATCCTCTCCATGGGCAAAGCCATTAATTAGGACTGCCTGAGATGTGGAGATCGTTCCATATTGAGCGAATAAGACGTGGCCTCCAGGAGCAACTGCAGAATGAGCATTCAAAACCACTTGAGATGCAATGTTGGCAGCTACTTCTACCGCTTTCACAATGACAAGATCAAACTTGGCATCAAAGGGGATGGCGTCGGGCTTTGTTAAGTCCGAGAGGGAGAAACTTGCACTTCTTTGAGACCCAAGTTCGCTCTCAACATTGACCAGGGCAACCGCATCCGCTGAGATGAAATTGTATACCTGATATGCCGCTCTGATTTGTTTGTCGCCTTTTCCAAACCACACAGTCGACTCGTCCCCGCTGTCGAGATTAATCTCCAGGATATTTAATCCCGGCTTCTTATGTGCCACTAAATCGATCAAATAGTCAAGAGTCTCTGGTAAGTCCGATTTGATCGAGGGAAAAGGTTGTTGGGATGAAATGAAAGTCACATCGGGCCTCCATGTGACGCAATTGAGCGTGTGCGATGCCAGGGGATCTGTGCCGGTGTCGAGGCGATGATAGTGCAGGCCTGTAAGACGCAATATCGTTTTCTGGGTCTCTGGATCATGGACGGTACAGCTGGAAGTGTAGTTCTTATCGTCATCTTGCCGGCCTTTACCCACGTATTTGGAGCTCGTCACCGAGACTCCTCTGTCTGGGCGCGAAGTGTTTGGGAAGATGACCAGATCATCAATCAAGGCGGGAATGAGCACAGACTTGATATTCGATCTGATACCAGCGACGAGAGAGGGAGTCACTGTCTGAAAGCACCCATCTATACATGCTGGGTGTAATGGGTATGGAGACTGAATTGACCATGCGGATGGTGGCTCTCTAAGGTCAACAAGAGAGCGACTGGTACGCTGCCCAGAAGTAGACTCAACTTCAAGTTGCCTTTGAAAGGCAGGACCAAATCCATAACCTGCATCGGCCATGGCCTTGTACCAGAGGTGTCCTGGCGAAGTATGTTTGAGTGGTTCCGCATCAACACTGGAGACATCTTCGGAAGAAATGTTCTCTAATCGACCCAGGCCAGAGCAATGCTCTCGAATTACATCATCCTGAGATGAAATGACCTTAAATTGATACCAGGATCCTTTAGATCCGGTAGCATAAGGAGAGAGGATTGTTTTGATTTTGGTAGGCTCGTTGTCATCGAGAACCAGCGCATTATCAAACTTGACATCTCGCAGCCTGTAGCAGAGTTGGTTCGCTTTCGAAACACCATCAACGGCATTGGTCTTTTGAGTACTCTGGAAAAGAGCTTCGACAGCCATGGCACAAAATCCAGCGGCAGGGAAGACGGTATCTGGACCCATTTTGTGGTCTTTCAACCAAGGTATGTCCTTGATATCCAGAATCTTGGAGAAAGTGGGTGCTGACCAAGCTGTACCGAGGATCTTGGATCCAAGAAGGTCATGATGGACATAAGGTCGATATCGCCACTCCTTACTCGCCTCACTCTCGTGCCAGTACTTAGTGCTATGGTTCCAGGTGTAGTTTGGCAGATCAACAATCGTTGATGGGTTGAGAGAGTCGGTAAGCCTTTCATCTCTATTGACTTTGCGAATGTTGGCTGGCAGTCCAGAAATGAAAAGACGTCCCACAACGTCAAACAGCGCGTTGAATGAATCTGGGCCTCTCTTGGAGGAAGCAAAGTATTGAATATTTGCGCCTTGACCTGGTAGGGCCTTCTTGATCTGTCCAACTGGGCCCGCCAATGCGCCACTTGGACCAATTTCAATCAGAAAATCAGCAGCGTTACGCTCGGACAAAAGTGAGGTACATGCCTCGTCGAAGCGAACCGGAGACACCATGTTAGTCTTCCAGTATAACGCGCCCATCGGCTCATTGTGGTTGATTCCGGTGACAGAAGAGAACAAGGACACGGCCGGATTGCCGTTCAGCGGCTTATCGCAGTTATCCTTTAGAAGAGTTTCGTATTTCTCGCCGATTGCCTTCATATACTTGGAATGGTATGCCAAATTGACCTGAAGCATTCGGGCAAAGTGAGAGTCAGCTTGCAGTCGTTCTCTGACGACTTCTAGATCTGCCACCTTGCCGGAAAGGGTGACGCTGCTGGGGCTATTAAAGCAAGCAATCTGAACGGTATCAGCGACTCCAGAGAGGTATCGCTCTACCTCCGCGGCACCAAGCCCGGCAGCCATCATTCCAACGGCATCGTGTGCTTCTGATTCAAGTTCTTTCGCTGCTTGACCGCGGTAAAACGCAATTTTGATGGCATCTTCCGGAGTAAGATATCCCGCTGCACACGCAGCAGCAATTTCGCCAGAGGAGTGGCCGACAACACTCTGAGCATGTATGCCCCATTCGGTCAACGCAGCCAGGATAACTAGTTGGAGTGCGGTGACTAAGGGCTGTGAGAATTCTGGACGACGAAGATGCGCCGGACTGCGTATTTCGTATAATTCATCTGAATGGTATTAGTCAAGACCCAGGAATTCAGTCTCAAGACCTACCAATAATCGACCAGCTTGGGGGGGTCGGCAATTTTTGAAGGGCAGCATCTAGACGCTGCAACAGTGGCCTGGCTCCATCATAATGGTCAATAATCCCCTTACCCATTTGCGACCACTGAGCTCCCTGACCGGTGAACACGAAGCCAACCTTGGGAACCTCACTACTTTTCTTGCCTATCACAAGAGCGCCCTCTGGCAGATCGAGCTTGGTTGTCACCAGGTAACCCCTGTAGAAATGTCGGCTTCGGTGTTCCGAAAGAGTATATGCCAGATCAGATAACTTGATATTCACAACGGGATTAATCAGATGTCGTTTCAGGGCGTCATAGTAAGATTTGAGCGAGGGTTCATCGTTTGCTGAAAAGACCAAGATATTTGGCCTGGCAAGTGCTGCATCTCCAACATCATCATCATCGTCCAAAAAATTGTCGAAATTTCTCGCAGCAAAAGATGACGTGTGCGGCCGAATTTGATAATCCTTCAAGAATGACTGGGCATCTTGTAAGACAACATGTGCATTAGAGCCACCATATCCGAATGAGTTCACACTCGCAATGCGTTTGCCTGTATCTGGCCATCTAATTGACGTCCGAGAAGCGCGAACCTTGAGGCCATCAAAGTCAACTATTCAGCGAAATCAGTACGATTGGTTCATCAACTTAGGTGTCAGGTGGCATGCCGCGATTGCTGCAAACTTACTTCGAGGATTTGGATCGACGAATGTCGGGTTGCCAGGTATGATTCCCTTCTCAATTGCGAGCACTGCCTTGAGGAGACCAGATACTCCCGCTGCAGGCTCCGAGTGACCAATATTACTCTTGATTGATCCTATTATAAGAGGATTACTCGGGGATCGACCTTCGCATAAAACAGACGCAGCAGCAGCTACTTCGACAGGATCCCCTTTAAAAACCAATTAGTTTCTAGCAGTTTGTATACGTTATAGTAACTCTTACCTGCCAGAGTTCCTGTCCCGTGACATTCCAAATAGTTAGTCTGGTGGAAGCCATCATCTATACCCGCGGCTGCGTATGCGGCGCGAATTGCAACGGCTTGTGCCTCTGCGCTTGGACTCGCAATTCCTATAAATGTCAAATCGGCGTCCTTAATGAACAAGCGTAATCGGGCAAATAAGTGGTCACATACCTGGCGTCCAGCCATCTGAGTTCGTTGCGGTGCCACGAATGATCGCTCTAATTGGGTCACCATCTCGCAGTGCGTCTTCAAGCCGCTTCAGGATGACACAGTTCACAGCCTCGGACTTGCAATATCCGTCGGCTTTGGCATCAAATGTGTGACATTTTCCGGTTGCAGACGAGGCAGTCCGCATTGCGCCCATATCTTGATTCTGATCTGGGCTCATATAAAGATTGGCGCCGGCTACAATGGCGCCGCTTAGTTGACGTGTTTGTAAGTAGCGACAGGCCACATCAACGGACACCAGACTGCCTGAGCAAGCAGTATCAATGGTCATACTAGAGAAAACCCGTTAACCACTGAACGAAAGTAAGCGCGCGGGTCTGTTGCGTACCTTGCCCCTTTTATATTTAGGAAATGACTGATTCTGTTGCTTAGAATAGCCCGGCCGGCACCAATAGTGATTCCTGATGGTCGATCTTCGGGGTCTCTCATTTGCATGTCCTGATAATCTAGTATTGTATTTGAGCGGAATTCTTGTACACATCATCTTCTACGAGGGGGATTGATGTTCTCACCAACGGCGTATGAACCAACGAAACATCCAAATGCGTCGCCGCTAATTTTTTCAAGGCTGATTCCAGCATTTTCAAGGCCCTCATAGACGACTTCCAGAAGCATCCTCTGCTGAGGGTCCATCGAAATAGCATCGGTGCGGGAGATATTGAAAAACGCTGCATCGAATTCTGCCGGGTCCATGTCCTCCAGGAACATGGCACCCGGTGTCTTGATTGTGTGAGGTTTGAGAGAGCCATCATAATGTCCGTCAAGGCTAAATCGTGACTTCGGTGGGGTATTCTCAGCGACTCCACCACGTTCTAAGAACTCCCATAATTTCGTGGGTGTGTTGCTATGACCAGGCAGGCGGTTTGAAAGACCAACGACAGCGATTGGATCCTGACGATAGACAGGCTTCAGTTGTTGAGTAGAAGGTTCAATATATGATTGAGGGATGTGACCCGAAAGAGACGAATTATCGTTCAACACCATGGTTTCCGAGAAAGCCTGACTTAGGTTTGACTACAGTAGGAGAAACCAGGATACTGGTCGATGGACTAATCATTGATCAGTACGAAAACAGCGATTTTTCAGACTTATTTGGAGACAATCACACTTCAGAGCCACCACTATAACCTCTGAGAAAATCCACAAATGCTTAGAAAGAGTAAACATTTTACACGCAGCGGTCCACACATCTACTGGTAAGAGTAAGCACAGGAAAATGCTGACACGCCCTTTAAACGCTTCATCTTTCGTAAGTCGGCATGGCACACCATGGCCATGAAACGCGATTATAGCTTCGGCTATGAACTTCGATTGTGAGGGCATCGAGTCGTAAGACCTGTTGTGCATGAAACACCTGCTGCTTACGTCGTCGTGGTTGATGTTGATTACAGGTCTTGGCCAAATCTGTGCAGTAGTAATTGTCACTTCGGTAATTACCCTGTTTGCCTTAGGTATCCTTACCTATCGCTTGTAACCGAGGTAAATGTGTCAAGAGCGTTAATACTGTACCTTAGCTTACGGTCAGCAAAAACTTAGAAGCGCGTATTCTGCTTATCTGTAAGATAAGAATCCTATAGCACCACAGAAGTCCAATATGTCATTATACCTCATTGGCTATTTGTCTTGGCGGTGGGACACCTGTTATGCCTACTCTTAGCAAGAAGACAGGGCTGGCATTAAATTCCTACGTGAAGCATTTAGTGTCTCCCTTCTACTCACTGTTTATTTCTGTGAAGGTGCAATATTTTATCTTCCTTCTATGAACATAAGAGATCTTTAAACATGTCTCGGCAGGAAGAAGTTGAGTTTACAACGATTGATGGCCTCAAGTTACAAGGTCGCCTCTACTTAGCTACAGGACATGGACCGGCCGTCATCTTGACACCAGGTGTATGATTTATCCCAAACTCTTCCACGATTCCAACTAACAGCCAAACTTAGTTTGCATGTGTTAAGGAGATGTTTGTGCCCGAGGTCGCGGAGGCTTTTCAAGCGGCTAATATTACGGCCCTCATATACGATCCGCGTTCGACTGGAGCCAGCGAAGGTCTTCCACGACAACATATCCACCCGCAAAAGCAAATCGAGGACTACTCTGACGCTCTCACCTTTTTGAGCCGCCACCCCCTCGTAGATGAGACTCGGATTGGCTTCTGGGGATTCTCATTTGCCGCCATCGTTGCCTTGAACTCAGCGGCGCTGGACAAACGAGCGAAGTTCGTGATATCAGTCTGTCCACTGACAGATTTTACCTTTGGCGGCAGGAAATCAAAAGTTCTGGCAAAGACGATGAAAGACAGGGCATCACAAGCTCAAGGAAACCCACCTTTTTGCCTCCCAGTTCTGACGGAGGCTGGCGAGAACCCAGTAGGCTTTGGGGTTGGAACGGCCAAGGAGGACTTTTCTCTCATATTGAATGCAGAGAAATCAGCACCAAATTATCGCAATAGTACAACATTGCAGTCTTACTATCACATCGCGGCATGGCAACCCTTTGGCTTGCTACCCGAAATAGCACCCACGTCAGTCTTGATGTTGACCCCTGAAAACGATCAGATTAGTCTGGCTGAAAACCAGAAAAAGATATTTGATAGCATACTGGCGCCGAAGAAGAGACACGTTGAACCAAACAAAGGCCACATGGATATTCTTTCAGGGGAAAGTTTTCCGGTTCTTATGAAGACCCAGATTGACTTCTTGAAGGAACTCTAGAGGAAGTCGAAGGAGAAAATCAGAAGGCATGGAAGCTTGAGATACGTATGTGCCAGGAAAGGGAAGACGGCTTTTTACATTCTAGCCCTTCCTTTACGTACGCAAGGCGCAATGAATATGTAGATTTCTGATACTTCGTTTTGATGAATGAAAAGGGCATGATCATCAGGTAGACTAGTGATGATCATCAAAAGAGTGTTTGCTGATTCAGTGTTTTTCATCACCAAAAAGGTGTTCATCACTAGGTGGCTTTCAATCGGGAGAAGCATATCAATTGCCTAGTCGCACCGAGAAATGATATTCCGGTGTGACCAATGAATGCCATGAGTACTATCTAACTCTCATACATAAAAGTGAAACAAGAAGTACGTTACAATAATCCCCTTACGTAAGTACAGGAATTATATACCTATTCAGGGTTATTTGATTATTCCTTACTGGTAATGCCGGTTCCCGTCAGCACGCGTTTGGACCTGTCAGCGTAAGCAATTTGAACCATGAAACATGCTACACCTGGCATCTTGTGGTTCTTCAATGGTGTATAGCAGCATAGCTAGTGGTTCAAACCCGACTCCTGTTACTGACAGCGAAGACTTCAGATCTGGGCCGAGCTAATTACTTAACCCTCAAGAACTTGCAAGGCAATTTTTGGAGAATGCCTTTGAAAACTTAGCCTTCCTAATCATATAAGTTGCACAATTACTTATATTTTCGGTACAATGTCAGTGAAAATACTATGCTTACATGGAATGGGGGTGAATTCCGAGGTGTTTGCTATACAGACAGCTAGTTTCAGGGCTCTTCTTCCAAAATACTACCAATTCCAATTCGTCGATGCCGAACAGTTCTGCGATCCATCTCCAGGAGCGGCCGAGTACTTCAGCGGCCCATATCGATGTTGGTATACCTCACCATCAACAGCGGGTGTCTCGAGAGCGCATCAAAAAGTCGAAGAAATCATCAAGGACCAAGGCCCATTTCAAATAGTCATGGGATTTAGCCAGGTATTTATTTTTATTCTCTTCTACAGTACATGTACATCCCAACGTATTTCGAACCCTACTGAATTTCTCTCCTCTCAACATAAAGGGTGCTGCACTTGCAGCAAGTCTCCTTCTCCAATACGAGCTTGACCGCCTCCCGTCACCATTCCGTGCTGCATTCTTTATCTGCTCCCCCCTTCCATTTTCCAAGACCATGGCCCACGGTATCGACTCGCGCACCTATTTCGGAATCCAGTCAACACGGGCGCTGACACCTCCTCGCACCACGACAGTACCACCATACCTCATCCCCGAGGATTATTTCCTACGCAGCGATGAGCGCATAACTAATCCCTCTCCCGTGAAATCCAAATCCGCTTCACTGACAACCGGATTTGCGATCGATAAGCAAGATGAATGGAGTGAGGGACCGTACTATAACATGTTCCATCCCAGTGTGGATAAAGTCCGTATTTCACTTCCAACCGCGCATTTATATGGGGCGGCAGATCCGTGGAGAAGACATAGCATTGACCTTGCGGAGATGTGCACGCAGAAAGTCACCTTGAAGCATGGTGGGGGGCATGAGATTCCGCAATCTGCTAGTGAGGAAATATGTGATTTAATTGAGGAGCTGGCTGCTATGGCGGGCCTGGTGTAGATTTCGCTCGTGTTACAAGATAAAAGACGTCAAAATCTTGTGAATCCTTGGCACCTTTCTTTAATTCTACACAGTGCTGCGAAGCAGCTGTTCTATGAGGATCCAGGCGCCTTATTCTGCTTGGGACACTATAAGTCAAGCCGCACCAGTAATGACTGCTTTTCCCTTGATAGTTTTAAATGGGGCCCAGAGGCTCACGAGAACAGCAACTCCGGCAACGCCAGTACCAAAAGCAAAAGCTGCTTTCAGTCCGCTCATATAGGATTCAAGGACTGTAGTTAGCTCAGAGCCCGAGAAAGCATCTCGAAGACTACCTGCGCCAATTTCTAGCACAATTGATGGATTGATGGTCTGAGAAAGTTTTCGAATCTGCCGGAGGAGTATGTTGTCAAATACACTCTGTCCTGCGGAAACAAATACTGCACCTCCCATCATCTGAAAGACTGTGCAAAAGGTTAGCAGGTCCAACCGTGTATTTAATCTCCGGGAAGCTGAAACGTACAAAGCACCATCGCGGTTGCTGTAGGAATATCTTCAGTCTGAGAGAATGCCTGGCCGGCAATAACTGGAATCTGGATACATAATCCTTGGCCAACACCTAAGATGATCTGATAGCCAATGTATTTGCCCGCAGAACTGCCTATGTCTAGAGTATAGACAAGGCCTGCACCTATGGTGAAGATAGCGCTCCCAAGAACAAGGAATGGAACGAAGTAGCCAATGATGCCAACAGAAACGCCACTGATGGCAGCGAAGAGGGCTGCATCTGAGTCAGTAATGTGGTGTAAATAACCAAGAGCATGAATCTTACAGGATCCAACAATAAGGGGCAGATTGCGAATTCCACTCTCAGCTGCAGACGTCCCATCTATGGACTGAAAATATATAGGGATGTAATAGGTGAAAAGGAAGTTGGCTCCCGATTGGCTGAAGATAATGATTAGCCATTCCACCCAGGGTCCAACGAATATCCAGTAAACTTACAAGAAAACATATATGCAGCACACCATGATCATTCTCTTTCCGAAAATTCTAGGCACAATAGCAGCTCTCTCCTTTGATTGGATCTGGATTCCAGCAAAAGCTGCTGCTAGCAAAACAAATCCAACCAGTGTCCCAATTACCTCTGATGACCCCCAGCCTCGAGTTGTCCCTCCCCACTGCAAGGCAAGGAGAAGACATGTCAGACTGCCTAAAACCGTCGCTGTCCCTGGGAGATCCAACTGCAGAACCTTTTCTCGCAGTGGTGCCGGTGCCGGAACACCCGAAGTTTTCAGGAATATCAGAATCAGCGCGAGAGATGTGCCGCCAATAGGAAGATTGACGTAGAAGCTTCGTGGTAATCAGCTGTCAGGTTCTATTCCTTAATGGTCTTGGGAATTGCGCACCACCATCGCCACGATGCCTTATCGGTAAAAACGCCGCCTATAAGAGGGCCTATAACACTAGCCATGCCATACACGGCACCAATTAGTCCCGTGAAGCCGGCTCTTCTGCTTGGAACTGCAACCAGAGATATCATGATATAGCAACCGCTGATAATACCAGCAGCACCCCATCCTTGAATTGCTCTGCCCACAATCAAAGTTGAGCTATTTTGTGAAACAGCTGGAAAATGTCAGTCACTTGTCATCGTTAAGTGTAAGGGCCTTATGGTTACCGCAGATCAAGCTGCCAATCTCGAAGATCGTGATGCAAGCTAGGAAAACTATCTTGACGGGAGAGAATTTGTACAGCTTTCCCCAGAAGGACTGAAATGAAGCGAGGGTGAGGAAGAAGGCGGATCCATACCAGCCTACTTGGTCGACACTATGGAAGTCATCTGTAATTCGTGGGATTGCTGTTGTCACAATTGTCATATCCAGGGCCACCTGCGCAAGTATGAGCTGGGCGTGAAAAAGGTAAAAAGTGATGATAAAACTCTTACCAGAAATACGCCAAGAGCAACGGCAAACAACACTATGGCTAGCCTAAGGCCATGTTGATACTTGTCCTCGTCCTCAGACGCGTCCTCCGCGTCGAGTTCAGACAAGTTGTGGTCGTCATGTTGAGCCACTGAAGCTGGGGCAGGAGGGATTTGCACGTGACCAGACTTCTCTGCAATGGTGGCCGACATGATGAACGAAGGGAACCTGGACGGCTGGAGACCAGGAAGCTGTCGAAGGTGAGGTGATGTGCGGCACATCGAGACCCCATCTTCCACCGCCCTTTCACCACCCTACCTCGCAATGGCATCATTCTTCTGCATACCTAATCTGACGACAGATTACAGTACTGCTGAATCGCCCACGGGATAATCTGACGCCAGATTATATCTGTATCCAGGAGAGTACAATCCGAGTATAATCTGACGTCAGATTATACTCGCCAACAACCCCTGACATGCATGAACTCCCGAAGTCTAGACTCGGTACAGGATTAGCCGATAAGCCCCTGTCTCACCACCCACACCCCCCCCTCCCTAACCCCACCCCGAGCCCAGCCGAACCTTCAATTAGCCGAGCTAAGCTTTTCCTGGACATGGCACCGCAACCTCGCCTCCCCAGACCTTGTCACGGCTTCGTACGCGTTCTTTTGCAAGGTTAATGAAGACCCTCCATCCATGGTGATCATGGAGAAGGCAAAATGGAAGCTGTTCGGCCTACGAGACATCTTCCGCGGTAAGCTGAGCTGATGTTCAATGGGCTACGGGCCGTACGGCGCAGCATGTTTAATGAAGACGTTCAATTCTGAACGCGAAGCGTATAATGCGTCAAGATCTCACACGGTAGGCCTCGTGAGTATTTTGTATCTTGTCCCTCGAAATGAAGCTCTTCTCAGTTGTGGTAGTATCTGCCCTTTCCATCTCCCTTCAAATTCCCCCGGCAGATGCCATTCCAGCAGCAACTCCTAGCTGTCGATCCCTTCCAGGAGATGCTGCATGGCCGAGTATCACAGCGTGGTCGGCTCTCAACTCGACAATTGGTGGTCGCCTGATTGCCACAGTTCCTCAAGGTTCGCCTTGTCATGCTCCGAATTTCAACTCCGAGCAATGCGAGAGTTTAGCGGAGCAATGGGACTATCCTTGGATCCAGTAAGCCAGCCCAGTGCAGGATCAAGGACGGCGAGGTGGAAACTGATAGGAGCACAGTTCCCAGGATCCTTCAGCGATAGATATGCCGTGGTTCCAGAACGGCACCTGCGACCCTTTTCACCCAATAGAGACGCCGTGCACGCTTGGGAATCTCGTGTCCTACTCGATCAATGTCTCGTCTGCAATGGATGTGATCGCTGGTCTAAAGTTCGCGCGGCAGAACAATGTACGGATCGCTATCAAAAACACCGGCCATGAGTAAGTTCTCGAAATTGACAAGGGTCGCCGCAACATCAGACTGACAAGAGCCTGTCAGTTTCATCGGGAAGAGCACAGCCAAGGGTGGATTAGGACTATGGACGCACAACCTGAATCAAATTGATATTCTGTGGAACTATACCAGCAGTGGCTATAGTGGCCCAGCCATGAAGATGGGCGCAGGAACACAGGCGTATCTTGCATATGAAGCGGCGCATCAGGTTGGATACCGAGTCATAGGCGGAACCTGCCCTACGGTGGGCCTTGCCGGAGGCTACACACAGGGCGGTGGCCACTCTGCATTAAGCTCACTCTATGGTATGAGTGCGGATCATGTTCTAGAGTGGGAGGTTGTTACTCCAGACGGGCAGCATATCGTGACCTCTCCCGAAAAACACGCTGACCTGCACTGGGCTATCAGCGGCGGGGGACCTGGCACTTTCGGGGTGGTGATCTCAATGACGACCAAGATGTTCAAAGACGGGACAACCAATGGCGCAAGCCTGAGCTTCAACACAACTTCTGCCCCGGGATCCACATTCTGGTCAGCCATCGAAGAATTCCAATCCCATCTCGGGCCACTCGTCGATAGCGGTAGCGTAGCGCTCTATAGCATAACCTCCACCACCTTCTTCGCCTACATCGCAGCCCCAACTATCAACACTACCAAGATCTCCTCCTACCTCCAGCCCACAACCTCGTTGCTCTCCTCGCTCAACGCAACCTTCTCCCTCTCCATCACCACTGACCCCTCCTACTTTGATTACTTCTCCCGCTACTTTGGCCCCCTCCCCGCCGGTGTCTGGGACTCCTCCCACCTAATCAGTAGTCGACTCATCCCTCGCTCTGTGGTCCAAGCGAACAACTCCATCGTCGCCTCCGCATTCCAGAATATCACTGCATCAGGGATCTGGTCCCTCTCCGCAGTAGCCCTCAATGTCTCGCACACCGTAGCAGGGAACGTCCCGGGCTCCAATGCCGTACTTCCCGCATGGCGCTCTGCTCTGTTACACACGATCGTCTACTCCCCGTGGAACTGGACAGTACCGCAATCGGTCATGGTGGAGCGAGAAAATTATCTCACGAATACCATCAGCCCTCTGTTAGAGTCTTTCACGCCAGGCTCAGGGACGTATTTGAATGAGGCGAATTTCGACCAGATTGCGTGGCACGAACAGTTTTATGGGGCGAATTGGGACAGGTTGAGTGATGTGAAAAAGAAGTATGATCCGGAGGGTCTGTTGTATGCGCGTACGGCGGTAGGGAGTGAGGCATGGGAGGAAGGGGAGGGGGGCAGAATATGTCGAATTTAGGTTGGGGGAGGAACGTTATTTTGGGGATGGATGTTTAGAAGTCCAAAATGAATATGTAGTAGGTAGAGCACCCCTTTCATTCGATAATCACAATTATATTATTATCAGCAGTACAGGTTCTGGAAACCGAAAAAGATCACGTTGGTTTGACCTCACAAGTGATGATGAAATTTATACAGGACATGCCGGAAAGTCAGAAAAATTTGTCGAGTTCACAGGGTCACGCCTAACACCCCTCCGCTCCACCGCCCCGTTTCTATTTTCATCCCACAGCGCCAGTTCTTTTACTTTGTTCCTCTACACAACTGTAATTTGTAATTCAGGCTGGGTTCATCAAGTGATCTATATCTAGAAGATGCATAGATGTATTTGTATCTTGCCAACCTACATTTAACGGTATCGACGCCTCTATTCTCTGAACTGCGATCAGGAAAGGCTGTAGTGCCTCTATATCAGCGGTGTTGGATTTTCACGATCAATACTCACTCATATAGTCACGTAATAAATTTTTAGTTTTGAGTTATTACTACCATTTCTACTCTTTCATAGAGGCAATAAAGCAAACCTTGACCTGTAGCACCTTCAATATTAGGCCATCTCCCCCGCCTACCAGCTCAATGGCGTGTCATCAAACGCGAGGAATTTCCCAGACGTCTCCTCACGAGTAGCGGCATCAATCTGCGGGGTTGTTAATTTACAGATAAATATCAAGCATGATCAGAAGCTTGCGTACCTTGGCAACGACTCCATCGACACTCTCCTGTACGGTCGCGAAGGCCTCTGGAAATCCAAAGAAGCGAGCCGCTGCATTACCCTCCTCCGTCTTGACCGCGCTGAGAACGAAGGATATTAGAAGATAGCGTGACGAGGTGTAGGATCCCAACTCACCCAGGGTGGAAAGCAATAGCAATCAGGTTCGGGTTCTCAATATGAATGCGTCTCAGGAGAAAGTTGATGGTCGCCTTAGAAGCTCCATACGAAGTGACCGTATAAGGCACGTACTCAGCCCCCGTAATCGTTGACACCGCTGAAGAAATAACAGCAAATTTCGGCTGTTTTGCGGCAGTCAAGAGCGGGAAAGTGGCTTGGAAAAGGCGGACGGGACCGGCGGCGTTGATGTCGACGTGTTCGAGGAGATCGCTGGTCTTCATCTTGGCAACTTCGATGAAGGCGGAGGACTTGAAGATGCCGGCATTGGCAATCACGACGTCGAGGTGTGTGATACCCTGCGCAGTGATGGTTTTGACGGCTTCGAGGGCGTCAGTTTCAGAGGTGCTCTCGACCTTGACAACGATGACTTTGCTGCCCTCGGCTGCGGGAATCTCGGACAGAGACTTGGCTTCCGCGGAGTCTGGGCTGCGAACAGCGGCGACGACAATGGTGTTGGGACGGCTGAGGTACTTCTCGACGAAGCCGCGGCCGATGCCCTTGGTAGCACCGCTGACGAGGATATTGGTTGTCATGATAAGGGTTCTCCGAATTGCTGGGAGGATGGAGGTAAATGGGCAAAGAGCGGAGCAGATGTTTTCAACGTCAATGGTGATATGCGAGAGACTTAGAGAGGGCAAGAGGGGAGAAAGAAGGATTGACGGTCTCTTCAGGCTTTTGTCTCTCAGTCGTTCCCATGGCCACCAACATTGCCAACCGGCATCCTCCGTCCGTATGTGCGACTTATGGACAGGAGCATATCGAAACAGCTGGAATGTTGGTGGCAGTTGGAAAGCGCATGAGATGATGAAAGATTACTTATGATATTGACCGTGTTCTCGGCGGGAAGCGCTGTCTCTGGCATGTGTGGGTGGTTTGAAGTGGTAGTAATTAGCAAGCAGTGATCGCCATAGCAGGGATGTAAGCGCTACGGGAATAATCCCTGAGGTATGATTAGAAGATATTGGGGTAGTAATATCCCCCGCGTCCGGCCGATGGGCGGCATGGTGCGGCCGCACGCACGGATCCGGCCCGAGTCGAAGCGCTCGCTTGTTTTCCCTGAACCTGCCTTATGTAAGCTAAGATTACTTACTAAGCAAAGTAGCACTTCATCCATACCTGTAAGCAGCATTATTCTCGCTCCCTGCTTACAGCTTCCAGCGGAAAGGCTGCTGCTTTGTGTCAGGTGGGAATAATACAATCAGTGGTTACACGCGCTGACAGCCCATTCATCATGCAATAAGGAAGTCATGGCATATGTAAGTCAAGTGTCGGGCCATCTCGCTCGTTGCGGAACACGTCCAATCTTCTCCGCCTTCTCTTTCTCGCTCACCTCTTCTGGGAATCATGGCCCTTTTTGATCACGTGCAGAAGAACTTAGATACAGCAACAGTGGTTGTCCTTGGAGTCACCTTGTGGCTTACATATGCTTTAGGTCTGGGAATTTATCGAGTCTTCTTCCATCCTCTTTCCAAGGTACCCGGGCCCTGGCTGGCCGCCGCTACGCAATGGTACGAGACATACTACGAGCTAGTGCCCAATGGTGGAGGAGCCTTCACCAAGAGGATCAAGCAGATGCACGAGCAGTATGGTATGTAGAGTCATCTGAATGGCCGACTTGCGGTGAGATCCCTTGCTGAGTCTTTCACAGGAACAATTGTTCGCATCAATCCAAACGAGGTGCATATCGATGACCCTGAATATTATGAGACTATCTACTCCAATAAACCCTACGACAAACTTCTCTCCTTCGAGAACCGCTTCAATATGCCCCACGCAACCTTTATGACTGCACACGCCGATGTTCACAAACGTCGTCGTAATGCTGTAGCTCCTTTTTTCGCGACGAATAAAGTTCGAGGGCATGGTCCATTCATTCAGAGTCTTGTTGACAAGATTTCGCAACGTATGACGGATGAGTATTCGGGTCAAAAGAAGCCGCTGGTGCTTAATGATGTTTTTGGATGCCTGTCGGGAGATGTCATCACTAACCTTGCCTTTGCCCGCTCATACCATCTTATCGAAAGTCAGAAATGGGAGTCCCCCTTCACGACTGCAGTGAGCAACTTAGTGCATACCTCGCACTGGACTACTCAATTTGTTTGGATTATACCCCTGATGAACTGTATCCCAGACAAAGTTGTCATGGCCTTGTCCCCCATTTTCAAGCCGATTGTGGAATTTCGACTTGTAAGCCTCCTTGTTTGTTCCACCGAGTGCCTAATCCCAGCTAACATCCAAAGGCGATGGAAGCCCAAGTCAGAGATCTCCTCAGCGGAGAAAGCAAAGAGATTAAAGAAGCGTCGCATAAAACACTTTTCACGGAGATTCTTGCCTCAGGGTTGCCGCCTGAAGAACTAACAATGCTTCGGCTGCAGAACGAGGCCGTCAGCGTCATCGGTGCCGGGTTTGAGACGACGAGGTGGTCTCTGACAGTTGCCTCCTATTACATACTGGCCAATCCTTCCGTGTATCAAACCCTTCGCGAGGAACTGATTGCTGCGATGCCTGACCCGAGCAAGATTCTTACCTGGGGCGAGCTCCAAAAACTACCATATCTTTCTGCTTGCATTGAAGAAGGTGGGTATGATTCCAAGCCAGAAGGATGGATCTGATTTGCTGACAATTTGAATTTTAAGCTCTGCGTCTCGGATACGGCGTCGTGCAACGTTCTCCACGCATCTCCCGAGACTCCTTCTTCCACTACAAGAACTACCTAATACCACCTGGAACCGGTGTTTCGTCAGACGCCTACCACATGCACCACCATGAAGAAATCTTCCCAGACAGCTACACCTACAGGCCTGAACGCTGGCTCGGCAACCCCAAGGGCCCCGATGGAGTAAAATACCTATCGCGGTACAATGTCGCGTTTAGCCGGGGCTCTAGGACCTGTTTGGGAATGCCGATGGCCTATTGCGAGATGTTCATCGCGCTGGCGACGGTGTTCCGCAGGCATGAGCTTCAGCTGTTTGAGACGACGAAAGAGGAGGTTAGTTTCCATCATGATATGGTTACGCCTCAGCCTCCATATGGTTCGAAAGGCGTTAGGGTTTTGGTAAAATAGGTCATCGGTATGGGGGCGAGATCGGGATGCTATCTGCCACGAATGTTGAGGATAGCTCTGAGCGCTCGAATTGGTATGCCGTACGCAATACAGGGGGGAGGCGCGATGATTCTCTAGGGAGTACGTGTTGCTTACTTTCTGGTGGCGGTCTGGAACAGTGTGGAGGTGGGCTTTCTTCTACCTACCTAGTCATCTAAGCTAAATTCTAAATCTCACCCGCGTCTTATCTACGTCCCGCAGATGGGCGGCGTTCCTCGAGCCCTCCGAGTGGGCGTCTAAGACGACGGGACGGCTCGATCCTCGAGCGTGTCCCGGCTACTGGTGGCGCATTTATACGTATATATATCGAGGTTTGGAAGGAGCTGGAACCCTGAACTGTAAGCTGCATATCTTGGCTTGCCAGTCTCTGTGCCGGACCCCCTGTCTATCAACGTTGAGAGCACGCAATATAACGGGCTCTTCGTAATAAGTAGACTCGTGGAGAGATAAGCGCCCCTATTGGTGATATGCGCGCGAAAGCAGGAAGATATATTATGGCCGATGGTATACAGTCGAAGCATACCTACTACTCCATCAAGGTGGAAATGTTCAAATGGGACGGACTAGAGTTCCCCCGCTCCACGTCTAAATAGGCTGTCCAATCCTGGTCGCTTAACCTTGGTTGTTGGATCTGGACGCATTCATCTCTCACAACCCCACACAACTACCACTCAGCACCATAACCCCACCACCTCTCCGACACTCCAGCACCATTCGAACGCCACTCCCGTGGACCGCGTTTCCTACTTTCTTGCAGGCTTGTGTGATACCTCGTCTTCTGTATCACCGTAGCCTCTCGCATCCGCAGAATGTCAATCGCGCGTGACGAGCCGCGCAAATCTTATCAGGATGAGCATCCATTGGATCTATGCGAGCGGCGAAGAATGCAAAATCGTGAGGCCCAACGGAGATTCCGCAGTATGTGCTGGTTGCGAGATACATCTGGCCGACAGAACTAATACTACGGCAGACAAGAAAGCTCAAGACCGAGCAGCAGAAGCTCAATCATCCTCCTCTGACACGTCTTCCACCAAACCCAATAGCCAAACTCGCTCGCGCCAGGGCACACTCGAATCGCAGCCAACAACTGATACAAGACGAGACTCATCCGCAGGCCTTGCCCCACCTATACACGTCGATACAGCACATACAACAATCATAAGGCAACCTAATCTTCCTGATCCCACACCCAATCAACCAGAAGACTCAGCGGCCGTTTCTTTTCATAGATCAGTATCAAATACAAACCATGTTCTTCACGGGTGTTCAAATGATTGCGAGCATTTGGTAACTGGTGTTCGACAATTAAATTTCTACGCCGCGTCCCCTCTAACCTTTTCCCAGAGCCAACCATCGCCACACAGCCTCCATTCGGCTTTATCCGACCTTCTTGAAACTGGCGATGATTTCTCTTACGACCAAGTCTCGCCGCTTCTATTACACAATGAGCCAATATTCGACTTCACAGATGACTTCAAGACGGACTATTTGCCCGCACAACCGTTCTTAAACTCTTATGGCACAATTATAGACTCTTTTCCGCCTCTTTCAAATACGCTACTACCACCATCACACCGAACCGTCTCTAGCACTGTACATAAACAGTCCAACATAACCAGATCCGCACCAACGAGTCGGCATGACGGCTTCTACGAGATGCCTCCCACTAGACCAGTAACAGCGAGCAAGCCCCCGTTACAAGATCCAACTCTGCCTAAAAACGATAATAATATCGACGATGAAAACGACGGGAAGCCATTGCTACATGTATCTGTCGAAAATGGACACGAGGGAGTTGTGCGAATATTGATCGACAGCGGCGTCGATGTCAACGAACGAGATCGGTACGAAGGTAACACTGCATTGCATATAGCCGTGTGGCAGAAAAACGAAGCCGTCCTTCGGTTGCTTGTCGAAAGCGGAGCCGACGTCAACGCCACAGATAATTTGGGCCGTACGCCACTGCATCAAGCTGTCGCAATGGGCTTTGAGGCAGGGTTGCGTCTCCTACTCGCCCATGGTGCGGATATCAATATTAGGGAGAAAAAACACACGAAGAAGCGCTCCCTTGGCTAGAGGAGTGTTGTGGGACGTCACTTCCTGAGGCTCTGATAAAGCAACCATGTGACTACGTTCCACTACCTCCCTCTTTCCTCTTCTTTTCTTTCTTCTTTTTATAAAGGACCCTTTAGATGAAATAACACTATACAGAACAGACATACAAGATTTATACAAGAGCTGTGTCTAGTATACTGTGATCCTGGTGTTGTGAATAGCTTCAATTTTTCACATATCGCGAATGACTTGCGGAGACGCGTCTAATCTGTACGCTGTAAATATTTCCATTGCACCTAATTAGGATAAGTGCGTTGATGAGATAAGGTAACCCGAACTAAAACCACAACGCACCAGCCACCGCCACACCTGGCCACGGCGGCTAAGCCACGATCTTCATTAGCCACACCCCGCTTCCCCTGTCCTGGCCGAATCCCCTGAATTCTTGTTCACTGGGCAACTCCCATGGTGCCCCAGTTGATGGCCCATCGCTAATATGAGGTGTTCATTACATTCAACGCAAGGTTGTGAATGGAAAACACCAATTCTAAGTGGTTTTGGCATCATCGTGGGACTTCTAACACTCTTGCAGCGAGTGGGATGTTGAATTTTGAATTGGTCGTTTATATTGAATATGCTTACAGTGGTAGGTACTGATATATGGATGTCACGAGCTCAAGGACTAGTGCTTACAGGCTAAGCCTCAAATATAACATGCCGGGCTCCAAGGAAAAAGTTGGGACATTCTATCAATCCTTTTTCATATCGTACTTGAGTATGAATCGGCCACGATGACTGTCTTTTCGCAGATCTTTAATACCAACTGCTCCTTGCCAACAACGCCATACCATTATGTAACCTCAGCAAACATCAGGAGCACAACTGACATATTATGGAGCTCCGCGACGGCATTAGTCCTGTTCACCTGGGCCATTCAGCATCTCAATGTCCCCTATCAAAAGGAGTCAAAAGCGCAGAAGCAACAGATTCGCAATTTCTTGGACGAAATGTTACTGAAGGCTTCCTTCATGATCGGAACAATTATAGCGCCTGAGCTGTTGCTTGGCAAGGCTCTAGGAGATTTGATGTCGGCGCGTGAATCTCGAGATCAGATGAAAACATATGCAGAGAAGGACAAAGTCGAATGGAGTCTCACACATGCATTTTACGCCAACATGGGCGGCTTCGTCATTCAGTTTTCACCTGGAACACGAGTCCCAACACAAGTGGACCGACTACAGGGCACGACAGAAACCACTACAACTGACCATGGACACAATGCTTTGTCCCTGGACTCACCAGAGTTAGTAATCCATGAAAGCTCTGATTCTATTCCAAAAAAGGAGCAGGTCCATGAGAGTCCAGTCGATATCGAGCGTGGTTCTCCTCCCCGAAAACGCAAATTGGACATTTCTAAGCCGCATAAATTAATTTCGGGCGAGGATTGCCCCTGCAGTGATCAGAAAAACGACTCGGAGTACAAATACATGACCATCGAGGACATCTCAGTTCACTTTGCTAAACCCTGGTACCTCTTTGGTTTTAACCCGTTCCCTATCAAGTTCTGGAATGGCAGGTTCCTGGTCGACCCTGGGCCCTTTAAGGAAATCCTGAAGCATCCAAATGAAGAGGCAGATGCAATTGCAGATACCACCAACGACCGTAATGCTAGTGACATTTTATATGAACTTGCGCATCGACCGGAAACTGACAAAAATTTATTCGGCGACGTGCAGAATGGACTTAGTCGGCTTCGGGGACGATACTGGGCACTCGATGCCCGACAACTTTACAAGGCTCGAGAGCTTGGTATAATTGAATCATTACCATCTGTTTCCGAGGAAGCCATACAAGACCAGAGCAAGGGTGACGCAGTCATCAAACTCACAGCTATGTTCCAAGCCTTTTATCTGGTCTTGCAGCTTATCGTAAGGCGCATTGAAGGCTTGCCATCGTCCTTGCTGGAAATCATGGTGGTTGCTTTCTCGGCTTGTGCATTCATAACATACCTTCTGTTCTTCCCGAAGCCACAGGGGGTTAAGGTTCCTCGATATATCCACGCAGCTCGGTATCCGACTCCAGAAGAGATAGGCATTATTGCAAAGCCTGCTCCTTTTGATTGTATGATAGGTTACAGGAAAAGGACATATGCGATGCCGAATTTGACAATGCATTATTGGTGGGGTAATAAGGAGTCAGTCTTCGAGTTTATAGCAGATGAATCTTCCCATGGAGGGTTACTCCTCCTCATGGTAGGTTCTGTTTTTGGAGGCATGGTGTTCGGAGCCATTCATTGCGCTGGAGTAAGGATACCCAAGCCTCCATTTTCTGGTTTACTGTACATACGCTAACCCCGTGACATATGAAGTGGTATTCCGATTTCCCTACACCTCTAGAGGGGATCTTCTGGCGGGTTTCCAGCCTATGCACAATTTTTGGCTGGGGAATATGGACATTATTTTTCCTTCCTTTCTTACTATTTATACATCCTGTATACGTGGTGTACGATATCATAAAACGTTGCATTGCCAAGAGGTATCGGAAACCAAAACCACAACTGCAAGCGCAAGCGCAAGCGCAACCAAAACGGAATTTGTCAGTGACAGTAATGAGAGTGCTGGGATTAAAAGACTTTGGAAAGTTCACTATAACGGTATCATTTCACATCTGGTTTTCAGGAACTGTGTACATTCTCGCACGCCTCTACATGATGTGCGAAGTCATCCGACAGTTGTTCTTCCTTCCCCCAGGAGCATTTCAGACGACAAGCTGGCTGGTTTCAATTCCACATGGTGGATAGCCATTCATTTTTCGGCAATACTTCGAGGATTGAGATGATTGGACAACGTTTGCTCAACACGCTTGAAGAGCAGCGCGGTTTAGGAGCCTAGTCACCCAAAAATCCGGCATCTGTGTCATTTGCTTCTGGGTCAGCTGGGAAACCGAAAGGCATTATGAGGATCAGAGGCTTTCATGCGTCGTCTGAATCAACAGATATGTCATTGTTGAGGAAATAGCAATCGAAAGGCATAGCTTGGAAGGCTTGAAGAGATCAGACGAGAAACTTGAATCTGGATTATAAGCGGAGAAGTCCAGCTTTTTGATACCCTTTGATGAATATGGAACAGCATTTAAACTGCTCGAGAAGGGCACCAAATGTTTAATAAATTACTGAACAACCTACTTCTGAAACAGAATCTTTTTGAGGGGTAGCATTAAGGTTCCTTTCATGAAAGTCGACGGGAGTACTGAGGTGGCTAATTCAGAGCTCAAGGCGCTCATAGAAGAGCAAATGCGATGGAACCCAGATGGGAAGTTAAGAATCCCTTCCCTTATCGTTTAAATTCCTAGAACAACTCTGAACTCAGACTCCTGGGTACCAATTGTCTACATAACGATACCTTTCTTCAACCCTTCGCCGTCCCGTTCGGCCGACATGCCCCCCTATTTAGCCGAGTCGGAGAAGAACACTAGGTAGGTACATGACCGCTTACTGTTTTCCCTCTCACAACCGCAAGAATAGTATATACCTATACTAGCCTCAAGGGGCATTTTCTCTCATTTCCGCATATCAATTATATATAATACCTCCTTCAATAATTTTCAACGAACACGCTCTAAGTGTCGACTTGCTCCTTCTACTCCACTATTAACCTATTTAGAGACACTTATCAGTATGCGTTGATGTCTTTAGGTGAACTTAGAATATCGGAAATTGGAGGACTTATGGTGCCTATTAGGGGTTTCTCAATGTTGTAGGTTTGTGCTTTGTCCTCCCTTGGGTATTTTCTACTCTAGATTGGCCTTTTTGTGTCTTGTTTCAATAGATATTGCATTGCGGGCATCTATATCTTCGTGCTCCAAGCATCGCGAGTCGAAATAAATGACCCCGATGTCTCATTCTTAACGCGTCAAAGAGTTGTTGAATCTTCTTGTTATTCAGACGTTGAACATTGCGACATTTGTGGGAGAGCTTCTGGAATGCAGTACGGGTATAAAGTGTTTCTTTTACACCGGCAATAATACCACCTGGGAGCCTTGGATAGTTCCGGCTTCTCGAGAGCGGAATGGAGGTCTCAAGCGTGACAGAAAGGGAACTACAAAGCCAAGTTGGGTCTGATGAGTTTCTAGATTTAATGCATCCTTAGCTTGGGTGCATTGGTCTTCTCCATTAAGTTTCATTCAGGTTAGAATAGGCATTTCAATACAGTTATTCGTTATGACATAAATCAAGCACTAATGGCTTGGATCAAAGATGACCTTATGCACTTGCATCTTATTGAATAGGTCATATCCTTCGACGGCTTTGCTTATCGGCATGACATTCTCAGTCATAAAGCTTTTCATCGTTAGTAACCCTCTCCAATGTTAACAGGTCGACTTACTCAAGCTTGTCTTGATTCTTCTTCAGCATTGCTAGAGCCTGTGGGAAAACGCCTTTGAAAGTCAGTAAGAGCGCCAGATCAGATCGATATACGTACTTCGGACAGGGCATCGACCCATCTGGAGCGTCAGATTCTTCCCATATCCCTCAGGACCCGACCAGGGAATCTCCTCCTGGTGAACACCTGATACCATGTCAATGATTGTTTATCTGAACAGAGGAGCTACAAACCGAAGCTGGAAATATTTCCCCATGGCCTAAGCAGATCGAAAGCCGTTCTGAGCGCATCTGCATGTCCTACACCCTCGATAACAGTATCGGCACCTCTTCCATTCGTAAGCTCCTTGACCCTCTTCACCAATCCTATCGAGTGTCAGATTAAGAAACGCCACGGAGTCACGATACCCATACCTTCTTTATCTGCCTGGTCATTCCATGGTTCAGCTCCCAACTTCTTGGCCAAGGCCAACCGACTGTCTACTCTATCAACAGCGATCACCACCTTGGGCTCATATTCCAAAGCATTGATCAATGCGCACAACCCCACCGGTCCGCAACCGATCAATACCACCACACTTTGGCGGATTGTATCCTTATCTATTCCACGGAATGCATTTGCGGCAGCGAAGTAGCCAGTTGGGAAGATATCCGCCATCAATACCAACTTCTTCTCATCGATGCCTTCAGGAGTCTTCACAGCGGTCGCATCTGCTAGCGGAACACGCATATACTCTGCCTGGCCACCATCCAAGAGTGGGCAACCAAAGAGGAGGGATTTCTCGCACCGCGACGAGTAACCACGCTGGCAGTAGAAGCACTCTCCACAAGAAACCGTAAAGGGCATGACGACGCGATCCCCAACCTTATGGACCTTGACCGACGAGCCAATCTCTACCACTTCACCTGTCGTTTCATGCCCCATTATGAAGTCTCCCTTCGAAGGTTGGTGACCGCGAAACACATGGAGTTCACTGGAAAATAATCAGCGGAATTGCTTGGAGAAAGCGGCGCAAGACATGCCTTCCACACAAAGCTGAGTAGGTGACTTTGATAATAATATCGGTCGGATCCACGATTTTGGGAATAGGTCGGTCCTCCACCCTAACGTCGAGCTTCCCGTGGAAGACGACTGCTTTCATGGTGTCTTTTGACATCTTGGTGATGTAGTTGAAGCTATTCTGTCGGGCGTAGAAGTATACAGTTACAAAACAAAAATATTGTGTGCGAGAGATGGAGCTGAGTTTGTTAGAAGGATTGACGTCGTTGACGTTGTTAGAATTCTGGGGATCCGGCGGGGCAGAAGGCGCTGAGTGGGGTCGATTGTCCGAACGTCGGGGAGGGGTTCTCGGACCTCGGGCTGTGAAATATATCTACAATTCGGAGTTCCTCATCTCCTTATCTCCTCATCACTTTCTGGTTTCTAATTCCATGTATTGTTACCAAGTTACATTACGCATTTGATGTCTTGATCGAGAGTGCGGGGTTCCTGAATGAGCGGGGTAGCAGCTTAAAGCGCAAGGCGCTCGGATCCCCTCTCAAAATGCGTTTCTCAACATTGAAGGGGAAAATTTGACGATTTCGGGTCAAAGGAGTTCCAAGCCAGGTCAAATGGCCCCAGGTTCCTGGCTATAGGAGATACGAGCGGATGAGAGGAAGGTGGGGGGAACTAAGAATTCCGCTCATTATCTCCGCTGCTCGAATCTCGTGCCCGTCATGTCTCAATAGGTTCGACATTAAGCAATGGTCGGGATTGAAAAAACTCTTGATTATGCGCGAATCCTGTGTTCTATTTTCATTGTCTGTTTAAATGCTCTTTGAAAAAGGAACTGGAGCCTATATAGTAGAGGTTCGATGTCATTGGCTTGAATGCGATCAAAGTTCTAAGCTACTGGTAGATATACATCTTTCAAGAACGCTGGGATGGCTGCCATGTACTGCGCTTTGACTGACCATGCCATGAGAGTTTTACTTCCGGGAGACATGTTGCGGCTTGAAATACCCAAGGTGTTGGGACAGCAGAGGACAGATATCTGCGCTCTCGGGCGTTCTGAGCCACGTCATGATCTGAAAGATGCGATTGAAGCAAAGAAGAAACGTGCAACTATCTCCTCAGGACAGGCTAGAGACCATTCTCCAAAACCGGTATTCTCCCCTCATTAATATTGTATCAGTACGTTCTTTGCGACCGAACCTGCCTTGCAGGCGTGGATTGGCAAAGCGATGCATGTGGAAAATAGAATCGCAATGGAAATTGAAAGTTCTTTTTCTATTATTTATGAAGCAGAGCCCACTGTTGATTTGTCTAGCAGCCAAATGATCTTTTATAGAGCTCTAATATCTCAAATAGGGGGAAGGGTGAATTGTCGTTAGGATCTTCACCCATAAAGCATACGGGTCGAGTCATCGACCACTCGTATATACTTTATAAATCGCATAAGGAAATCCAAGTGGCCTCTACGACTATCTCCTCCCCCAAAAAAGAAAAAAAAAAAAAAAAAAAAAAAAAAAAAACCAGTCAAGTAAATAAAAGTATCAAACCCCTTCTTCAAGATCAATCCGGAAAAGGTTCTCCGGAGCGGAGTTTACTGCTAGAATTGACAGGGGTCCAGATAACAAACGGTTGCTTACTTTGGCTGCCCTCAGCAGAGTTGCTCCTTGCAGCGTTTGAAACCTGCCACGCATCAGATTATTATGGTATCCAATAGGACGTACTGTCTGACTCGGCAGGAGTAAGAGGTAAGGTTATACTCTGTACAAGACATCCAGGAACAACAGAGACGACAGGGCTCGCGGGAGGCTGGAGATACAATGTATGCGCCGCCTGCGCATAGGATCACATCTCACATATGATTAACCAGAGGACAAAAGGAAATATGTCCCATCTCAAAGATATAAATCAGTGGAATGACCCGTCTCACTGTCATTTCCTGTGGATAGAGTGGCGCATTTCCATTCATTAAGAATCCTTTAAGAACACTCCCTTTTTATTTTTCAAAAGTCTCTCATTTATTTTTCTTCAAGAAGTCCTTGATTTACATTCTTTGAGGATTCCCTCTTTTAACTTTCGGAGAGGTCCCTCCTTTACTCTCCCGACAAGGTTACTCACTCAATTCCCATTCTTCATTCCATGAGAAGCCACTCATTCGGCATGCTGTTTTTCCAATTATTTTATCTCGCGACTTCCGTCTCAGCGGCTACTACTTTCGCAGTATGTATTCTCTGACTCTCTCTCAGGGAAAGTAAATAATTAACACGGGACCAGGGCGTCAACATCGCAGGTTTCGATTTTGGCGTCGACACCACGGTTAGAATATTCAGCTCCTATCTTTGATATCTGCTGATTGTCGGCAAGGGAACAGCTCAATTAAAGGGAGTCGATCCCCCTTTGAAGCAGTTCGGAGGGGTTGATGGAGCTGGTCAGATGCAGCATTTTGTGAAAACCGATGGGTTTAATCTGTTTCGACTACGTGAGTACTCACTCTTCTCTCCTCTCCTATCTCCTAGACATACTAACCCCATCAGCGGTCAGCTGGCAATTCCTGATCAACAACAACAACACAGTGAGCGATGAATCATCAAACAGAACCTGTGGTTGCAATAGTAAACCCGGAAACACGCTCGACGCGACCAACTTTCAAAAATATGATGCGCTCGTCCAGGAATGTCTTGCGACGGGAGCGCATTGCATTATCGATATCCACAACTATGCGAGATTCAACGGGTTGATAATCGGCCAAGGAGGCCCTACGAATTCGCAATTCGCATCTCTGTGGTCACAGATAGCTACCAAGGTATGGGGATTCCAATTGCCACATATCGAACGAATTGCAACGTTAACAAAACTACCGCTAGTACGCCAACCAAAGCTCCATCATCTTCGGCATCATGAACGAGCCGCATTCCATTCCCAATCTCAACACATGGCGCTCCACGGTCCAAAGCGCCGTAACCGCGATCCGGTTCTCCGGCGCCACATCCCAGACCATCCTCCTCCCCGGGACGGGATTCAGCTCGGCGCAGAGCATCATGAATGGCTCTCTGCACTCCGTGACGAATCCCGACGGGTCGACGACGAATCTGGTTTTTGACGTGCATCAGTATTTGGATAAGGGGGGAGCGGGTCAGGGGAGCGAATGCGTGAGTAGCCATGTAGAGGAGACGTGGATACCGCTTGCTGCCTTTTTGAGAGAGAATAAGAGGATGGCGATAGTGAGTGAGACTGGAGGGGGGGATACAGAATCCGTAAGACCTTTAATTTCTGTCCCTCCAAAACCCCAACTCAACTAAATCACCAAATAGTGCTATATCAATCTCTGCGCCGAACTCGCATTCCTCAACGCGAACAAAGACGTGTTTCTAGGATATGCGGGATGGTCCGCGGGGAGTTTCTCGACGGAATATAGTCTGGCGGAGACGCCGGTCGTGAATGGTGATGGAGAGAGGAGTTTTAGTGATAGGCAGATTGTGAAAAGATGTGTGGCTGGGACGCGCGGGAAGCGGAAGGGGAGTGTAAGCCGGAGGAATAGGAGGGTGTTGAGGGAGATGATGAGAGGAAGTAGTGTTTGAGAAGATAGGTGGAGGAGGAGAGGGTTGGATATGAGGATATTGTGTTAAGGTATAGATAGAATATATAATGGTCACACGACCAATCAATCAATCAATCAATCAATCATCAACCCCTAATTTCTAACAAAAAAACAACTCCTTATCCATCTATCTATCTATCCATCCATCCATCTCCTCACAACACATCCTAATATAATTCAACCCAAAATCTCCATACATCCCTCCCCCCCTTTTTCTCCTTCATACAATCAAACACACACAAACACACACACCCACCTAACCTCGCAGGACACTCTCCCATCTTCTCTTCTCTTCACTTTTCATGCCTACCTACCAACTCGTACTAGTAATTAACCTCAACACCACCTCTATCTAAGAAATCAACAATCAAGACACAAATTACCCACCCCCTCCCCCCCCC